TGATTTTTTCGACAATTTTCAGGGAGTGTTCTAACAGCCGTACACCCCGATATGATGAACAATTCAATGGATCACCTTTGCCTTTGTATAGCGGAACTGTCATGCTACAGTTCCATTCAGTCGGCATTGAGCAATTTTGCCACACTTCACGGCAAAGTTGTAGTAACGTTTGGATACCTGCAGTACCAGATGCTTTGATAATGTCATTTGTGAGTCCAGAGGGCCCTGCTGCCTTTCCATTCTTTATAGCTTTCTACAGTGATGTCTGGAATCGGACTTTCGATGGGTGGAGCGTCGAAGTTGACATTGATAGGATTTGTTTTAACAGACTGTTGAAGTATTCTCTCCACTGTAGCTTGATCTCATCTTGTTAAAGAATCTTCTAATTTTTGTCGTTTTTGATACATGAGGCACCAACTATGTCTTGTTTCGTATGCTTTGCTTGTTTTGCTATACTATACAGAGATTTCATTTGTTCGCCTTTGCTTTTAGTGAGCCACTCTCTGCACTGATCTGTCGGAGCCAGTGCAACTTGACGTCTTGCATAGTTGTTCTTCTCACGGAAAATTTTATGGTCATCAACAGACTTTGATTTTTGCCATTGCTTTTATGCAACTTTCTTTTCAGCTATTGCATTTTGTACACTGTCATTCCACCACCAAGTGTCACGTTCATGCTGACGTTTTGTACCAGTTTTCCCTCAAACTGTAGTTGCATCAACAGACTTAGATTTTTGCCATGTTGGGCGACAAATGATTCGCCAGGTATAGCTTTAACATTTTTGAATAGCCTTCGGTGTTGTTGCTTGACAGCGAAGAAATCAATTTGCGTGGCTGATGGTCAACTTTTGTATGTTATGAGATGTTCCAACCTCTTTCTAAAATATGTGTTCAGTAAACAAAACCCGTGACTTTCAGTAAACTCAAGGATGCGGTTGCCATCTTCATTCCGTTCTCCATAGCCAAAACTGCCATGCCATGTACGATGTCAAAACCATCTGTTTTCTCTCCAACGTTGCCATTGAGATCGCCTCCAATCAGTATTGTTTCAAGTTTTGGTATTGTTAAGATGATGTCAGAGAACGCAGCCCAGAAGTCATTTTTCTTATCTCTTCTGATTCGCCTGTCTGTGGTGCGTATGCAGAAAAAATGGTCATTGTTTGCTATTCCAGGCGAAGCTTGATCCACATGAGACATGAGTTAATTTTTATAATATCTAGTACTTCTTGGGCTAGCGGTTCTTTGACAAAAATTCCAACACCGTTTTTTACCGTAATTTTACCATTCCAGAATAGTATATATTTTATTTGTCTGAGTTGATAATGACAGACACCATTCGATTTCCATCGGGTCTCCTGAAGGCAGCAAATGTCAATCCTTCTACGTTTGAGCATTTCTGCGATTTCCATGCTGCGGCCAGTCAGTGATCTAACATTGAGCGTACCAAGTCTAAGTACCATAGAGGGGCCATTCTGAATTTTTTGCAACATCTCTCCGCTATTGCATACTTCCAAGGGATTCTTAGAACCCCTTGACCACTTAAGGCCTGTGTGGACTAGGGGCCGTTGTTTTTCCTTGTGATGGCATAGAATAATTTGGGAGAAAATTTTTACATCCGGACACCCATCCTGACGACAACCACCAGTTATAAGCGGTGGGTTCAGCCTTTTGCTCAAAAGCACGCAAGGCAGCGTGGATGCAGTTTTATGTCATACCCAGGACGTAACGAATTGCCTATTTGTTTGGTTATTTTATTTTTTTATCTATTTGTTTGGGTGTTTTAACTTAATGTAATTAACAAATACCAACAGAAGATAATTATTTTTGAAAATTTTCTGTTTGGTGTTTTTTTAATAGTTTTCACTTAACTTTTAACATAAGTTTTAAATTGAGTTACCATTAATTAATCCATGCTGATCAAAGCACTTCATAAATGATTTAGTAAATGCAATTTGGTTATCATCATATTAAATGTATTGTAACAAAAATAATTATTAAACCCTCTATTTGCGTTCTTATTTATCAAATTGAATTAAAAGAAATGTAAATTAGTTAATAATTATTTACTATTTTATCTCATTATTCATTCTTTATTTCCTCGTACTATTTCATTGTAATGAAAGAGTTTCTCTTATTGCCATTAACGTTTACTTTTATTATTATTGTGATGATGTTTGTTAATGTTGTCAGAATTGTAGTGGTATTTAATTTTTAAAACATGTACCATCATTTGCAGACCAATAAATAACTTTATTCAGATTCAGAACCTCTTCTTTATAACATTGTACAAAGAATTTTAATAAGCCTTCTCTATTCGTTAATAGACTTCAACTTCTACTTTTAGCTATTTTGTTTTTTAGCCATTCTGCTATTTGTTCACCATAATAAGAAAACACATTGATTATGTTTAAAAATTTAAGGCATCTGAATTTGATGTCTTGGAGTTGAAAATTTAGTTTCTGTATGATGGCTATTTTAATTTTTATGTTAAATTTAAAGTAAGAAATTTAACTTAATTAATTTTAGAATAAGAATAATTTTAGAATAAGAATAATTTTAGAATGTCCTGGTTATGACATTAAACTGACCCTCACTGCCTTGTGAGTGATGTTGGATCATCAAAGGCTAGGCCCACCGCTTATAACTGGTTGCGTAAGGAAGGGCGTCCTGCGTAAAAATTAGCCAAATAAATTACTTATGATGACAGAAGTGACAATGGCCCTCAGTATCCGGCAGAATGGCGTCGAGGGCTATTTCGGTTTCATCATAGGTTGCCAAACGGCAACCCCCGATCTCGAGGAAAATGTCGTCTAAACGTGTGTTGTTGTTTGTTAATTTTAAAATAAGATGGAACTAAACGCTGGGGAAGAAGTTCCATCATCAAATAATCAGATGGTGATTTGAATTAATAAAACCCACTTTCCATAATTATAGTAAATTCGTTCCCATACATGCTATTCAGTATAAAATAACATTGTGCAAAAAAGTGATCTGCGAAAATTATTTTGTCGAAACCATTAGATTTCATCGAAACTCTTTTATAATTAGGGGTAATTATATTTTTATTTTGTGTAGCTAGCATTATGTAAACCCCTAATGATATTGTAACCCAATCTTATAAGCTCTCTCACTACTTTTACAGAAACGTTGTTAAGGAAATTTTTCAGAATGATCTTTTTCAACTCCATAGTGAATTATGGATCTTGATTTGTTACTTTCTAAAAATTTTTTATTAATCTTCAATAGAGTATTAGTTGTTGGTTTTTTCGCTTTGTTTTGTTTTAAAACTGAAATTTTTTTGGAATTAAAATTGATTCAATTATATTTCACTTAATTTATATTTGTTATTGAAGCAAATGTTTAAAAATCTGTTTTTTCGCACATACAATTTTTCAGATATATTTTATTGTAAGTTTGATCATTAGTAGAAGCAAAGCTTGAAATGTGAGTCTAACCATTTTAACCGTACAGTTAAAAAAAATTTAGGATTAATGTCACTTTGTTTAATTAGAAATGAAGTAAAATGAGTTTCCAACATTTAAAATAATTCCAAATTTTTTTTTATTCTTTAAAAAATCAGGATCTGACAGACGCAGAAACTGTTACAGCATGTAAGGCAATAGTATAAAATGGTAACGAATAATAATAAATGAATAAAAAATGGAGAAAAAAAAGTTTAAACATGAAAAATATTGAAAATAAAATAAAGAAATGGTATAAAAAGGCAAATAAATAAAGTAATTTATTAATGGACTAGATAATGACTTAGTGAGTTAGTGAGGTAATTGATAAGAAAAAAAGAAAACTAGATTGAGTAAATGATAAAAGTTTTATTGAGTGCTAATATATTTAATGTGTATTATGATGAAGGTCTTTCCCTGATATGTTGATTGACTCAAATGGAACTTAAGTCTCACAGCTGAATCTGTCAATCATAGTGTCGGGGTCAGATTAAAAATATCCGACTTTGGCCTCTCAAAATATTACAACCCCATGTAAAAATTTCCTACTTTTACTACGGATTTCGACTTTCAAAAATTTTGTTGGACTTTTGCATCATAATTTTACTTTATTATCACTACTATATGAAAAATAATTAAACAGATCACTTAAAATCATGTTTTTTACTTTATATGATATTTATGTTTTAAAACGTACTGAAAATAAGTGATTTTATCGACATTATTAGCATTTATTTCCAGTATTAAAGATGATTGCATATTGCTACATATTTTATCTTCCAAAAATACCATCTTAAAAAAATTTTCAGAATAAAAATTAGATTAGATAGAAAAATTTAGATTTAAATTCATAACATTTTTCCGTAGTCGGATGAAAATACCCGATTCTGGCAAAAACCTCTGATTCCGACACTGGTGTAAATTCACAAAATTTTTATTTTTTCTGTCAGTTGATAAGTATTTTATTTTATTATATATTCTTAATTTTGAGGCAATATTTCATCAAAAAATTGAAATGTGAAAAATTTATCCTTACATTGTGATTCATTTCAATTTGATATGCTGTTCCTTACTGACTTTATGAGTGTTACAAAATTTCGACAAAATTTTAAAAATCTTTCATTTGGTAATAGTTTTTCATTAAACAGGTTATATATATTTTAGAGGATCAAAATAATATTTAGTTAAAATTAATTTTATTAAAAACTTTCTTTCAGGTGACATAATAATTGGATTAAACTGTATTGATAAAAACTGGTGGAATGGATATGTTTTTGATAATAAAGATGAAAAGGGAATATTTCCATTACGCATGTTTTTGAGCTCAAAGTTTTTTCTGATACTGATAAAAAAACAAATGATTTGGCTCCAAAGCTCGGCAAAAATTTTAAAAATCCTCAGAAAGATCGTTCATGTGATGTTGCTGATGTTGTTGGGAGCAAATGTCATCAATCCAGAACCAAAATAAGAAAATTTGCGGAAAGGAATGGCGCCTGGTACACCCATTGTTAATACAAAATCGCGAGAATCTTTTGTAACACCTTACGCTAAAACATTGTATCCTTATGAAGGTGTAAATGATGATGAGCTTTCATTTTTAGATAATGAAATTGTTTATCTGACTAAACATTATTCTGGTGGCTGGTCTTTAGGAGAAATTGATGGAAAGTCAGGTCTGTTCCCCACCAGTTATGTGGAAATAATAGTAGATTGTATTCCATCATTGCAAGATATAAAACCATCAGAACAGGAGGAACAAGACAGTGCAAATACTCAATCTGATCAAAACCCTGACTGTTATGAAGAATTAGATGATTATGCAAATATTGCAGAAAATTTCAAAGAAAGTCACGTTCTAGCGAATGTGAGTACAATTGGAGAAAGTGATGTAAACAACAACTTAAATATGAAAGAACATGGAACTTTGCATGATGAGTTATATGGAAGAGCTTTATATGACTTCTCAAAATCATCTGAACATGAAATTGATCTCCAGGTTTTAATTACTTTTTTAAGCACCGTTATCATAATTTTAGTTGTGCATTATGTCAATTTTGTTTCTAAACTAAAAGTAGGATAATCAGAGCAATTCCATATTGCTGCCTGATTAAACTGTGTAACAACTATTTTCATTTTTTGTTCATAACTGAATAAGTAATTAGCCATCCTTTGCTGTTGTTGGGAGCAAATGTAATTTTTTATTGGTCTTTATAACTTTACAACTTTGTTTTCTATGTTATTACACAATTGTCATTTGATAACTGCAAAACAATATAAGCTGTAAGGGTATGGCTCGTAATTAAAAAAAAATAAAAATTATTTTCCAAATGAATTCAGTTTCAGTTGTTTCAAACTGTTTCTTCAAAAAAAGGGAAAAATATACACAAGTGAGTTTTGCGAAAAACAACATGGAGTTAGCTGCAAAAATTGAATGCTTGACCAAATAATTTTTATTTTTGTGCATAAAGATTAGACTTGAATATTAGGAAAAAGACATGAGAAGAGAGTGCTGAACAGCTGCTGAACAGAGTATATTTAATAACTGAATGGTTCTTCATTTTGACTAAATCGTCATTAGTGTCTCTGCATTAAGCATCTGTTTTTTATCTGGTGCTATTTTTCATATGATTATATTAAAATTTCTCCTAATAACTTCACATCTGATGATTTAATTTTGCAACTCCAAAATTTTTTCAATGCGTCATTTCCAGTTGAAATAATTGGCTCTTGCGCGTTTTAAAGACATTTTAAAATGCTTATATTGATTTCATCTCTCTTTATAATGCATAGAAGGTTCAATTTAAACAAGAAAATAGGCGTTTAATTTTATTAATTTATTCATATTTCATTTTAGGAAGGAGATACTGTTACCATTTTACGGAAAATGAATGCAGATTGGTACGAGGTGAGGCATGACGATGGTCGTTGTGGCTATTGTCCTGTGGCCTATGTTGAAGTGTTTGGCAAAGAACCCGACTGTGCTATGTCTTTTTCATCTCAAGACACTACACTGAAGCACGCTTCAAAACAAATGTCGCAGGAGAACATTGGGCAATTATCATCATCATCTTCGTCCTATCAAAATCTTCATGATATACAATTATCCCAACAAGATAAGCTGTTAAACTACTTATCTCCAGGTATAAGACCAAATCAGAAGGTTAGTTCATTTTTCATGAGAACATTCTAATTAATTGAGTGACCTTTTGAATGGGTTGTTACATGTAGAATGGTGCATGGAAATATGCTAATTTTATAGTTATGAAGTTTTAAGGTGTTTTTTATTGAAAGGACAATTGTGATGCCATGGATGATGGATTAGCTGATCATCATTGTCCTTCACAATTGTCAGCTGTTCGTGCAAAGCCACGTAAGACACTACAAGCTATCATAACAAAAAGCAACTCAATGTTAACTTCATCATTATCTACTGCAACGTCATCTCTGTTAGCACCTTTCAGAAATGCTCCCTCGAGGCCTATTTCATTGCTTAAAGGTTAACTTCAGATCAAATTTTTTATTTGTTCATTTACTTTTCACTTGTTATTTTTAGTGAAACTTGCATGATTATTTATTTATTTTGCTCAAAGATAGCAAAGGTATTAAAATTGTAGTTATTGGATAGATGTGCTTGTCACCAATTTTAATAAAGTAAAGTTATAATTGCTGTTGTGTTCGGTTGATACTTTATTTCCAAAGATAAATATTGTAAAATAATTTAGTAAAGCACAATAATAGTGGTACTTGTAAATTAGTTCCTTGTTAAATAGGATAAATCAAATTATGTTCTCAATCATTTTTGTATCCATGTCTTTTTAGTCAAATTTTTTGTACTGTTATTTTTGCATTATATAATAATAATAATAATAATAATGTCAGTTAATACATACACTAATATTTTCATTAATTATAATCTTGCTGTCAACATAACTATACTATTATCTTTTCAACAGATGAATTGAAAATTGCGCAGAGTGTTTCATCCCGGAATTCAAAGCAGGCATCAACATTTTTGGCAACTCCTTATTCATCTAGACTGGAAAAAGAGGGTTTTACGTACTTGTCGCCAAACACGCCGACTTCGCCAACAAAATTACCTTCGTCGTCAATAACTAATGTTATCGGCGATAGTGTTAATAAGCATAATTCATTAAAGGCGTCAGATGAAAAGCCTCAAAAAACATCCATTAAAGTGATTAATGAGAAAGAAAAGAGTATGTCCTCTGTTAAAAATACGCAAGAATTAGAAGAAATTATAACAGCAAAAGCTGAAAAACGTTTGAATGTTATGAATGAGTTGGAAACAACTGAGCTGGATTACGTCATGTGTTTAGAATTGTGTTACAACTTGTTTCATGACAAAGATGCCTACGACTGTCCCACAAATCTTGATGTAGATGCTTTGTTTGGAAATATGCTCCAAATTATAAATCTTTCCAAGAATTTTCATACAATGTTGAAGAAATGTTCTCAAGTTATTTCGTCAACACAAAAATCAGTTGGTTAGAAAAGTTAATTTGTATTGAAAATAAAATGTGATTTAAGCTAATTTGTGTCAATATATTAATATTTTTCACAATGTAGTTTTGGCAGATTTCTTTGATAAAAGAAACTCGTGACTTAACTATATATATATTTTGAATTTTTATATTTTCTCTTTTTTTATAGTCTACTTGTCTCTCGGTCACCTCGTCATTTGATGTTTTGTTTTAAAATTTTTATCCACTTCCGATGCACCTGGCCAGCTGAAATTTTCAGGGTAAGTACATTTTGAAATAAGTTGCATCTTGTTCAACAAGCGCATCCTGCTCGATAACCGTTAATTAAATTAAATTTACTTAGCCAGATTTTAATGCAATTTTAATTGAATAATTAACTTAATGGGCCCGTCGTCTTTGTCTTTTCTTTTTTATTGATATGATCCGGCGAATGAATTTCAAATATTTACAATACAATGCGGCGAGTAGAATCTTCCTCCGATGATGCAAGACTTAATCAGCACCAGCAGACCAGTTAAATTAACAAATAAATTAAATTTAATAATAAATACAAACAATAAATTTCTACCACCAATAAAAACATTTTAATAAAAAAGGTTTTTTGTTAATTTTTGCTTAATTTGAAAATTAATTAATTATTCGCAAAGGCTGTTTAAGTGTTGAAAAATTTGCCTTCTACTTCATTTTTCAACTTCTGATCATATTTCATACTTTGATTTTGTGTAATTAAATCTTTTTCACTTGTTTCCTCTGTGAGATTTAACCAAGAGAATTAATAATAATAGCAATAATAATAAGTATAACAATATTAATCGTATTGATCTAACGGATTCGTCAACGCGGTCTATTTATTTCAACATTCCTATGATTTCAGGGCGTCTTTCTTAACAATATAGTGTTGTTGCTAAAAATTCTTACCGCAATCTGCACCTTCCTTCAACTTGTCATTTTTATGAGCCTTATTCACTCTTTATTACTTACTATTTGAAATGAATTAACCACTCTAACTCTATGTGAATTACTTGATCCTGTATCTTTTAGTTTTGGCGTTCATTAAAATGTTTTTGTAGTCTTATTTCCATTTTTTACGTATAATCTTCCTATAATTTTCTCTTGTATTGGCTGTTATAAAAAACATGTCTATAAGATATAAACAAATTTCTACGACAGGTATGTCAATAAATTTATCTACAGTATGTTTCAAATAAAACAAACCTGGCCAAGTAGCTTTTATTAGTTTTTCTCATTTCTTTTTAAATGTTCCTATGCTAAGTCTGATTATATTGTTTTTTAATTTATTTTTTGCATTCTCTACCTACATATCTGGCCAATTCTCAGTTGCTAACAAAATTCTAATGAATCTAGAGATTTAAGGTTTTCAGAGTTCAACGAGATTCTACGCACATTAACAAACAATACATTTTTTCTTTTCTTTTTATTGGACTTCATGAATATAACACTATTTGAAAAACTCATTGCCCAAAACTCATATTTACAGATTTTAATTTTTTCATTCTTTAATAATTTTTTCATGCAATTCGAATCGTACTTTTTAAGAAATTCGATAAAGGGAATCTTTTTCATGAAGTTTGAAACCAGGTTAAAGGACACCGTTTTAAATACTATAAAGAGATAACCAAGCTACGGCAGAGAGGCAATTGTTTCTTTAATAGATCAGCAAATCTTTGGAATTTATTGCCAAGTTAATTTGTGGAAGCACCTATAGTAAGCAGTTTTAAAGCAGACCATGATTACTGAACGAACAGAAATCAATGTAATCGGCTGTCATAGTGTGCCTGACAACGCACTCACTGGCCCCGTTGCCTGTCTACGGCATACTTTATTACTACTACTACTTTAACGAATCTGTACCGCTTGCAATAATTTGTAATATGATTAATCTCGTTTCTGTAAAAGTCAGAGTTTTCTTCAGAAAAGTTAAGTTATTATACGAAAATCATTTAATGCTTCTTTATTAATTTACAAAAATTATTTTTTAAGGAAGTTGTTTTTTAGAACTGGAAAATGATTTTAAGCGAGTCTACACACAATACTGCAGGAACCATGATAATGTTATTGCGCTGCTTGAAAAAGTTGGTTTTCCTGCAGTTCTTGTGCATTTTAATTTTTTTATCATTATTACTTAATTTTTTTCTTTTCTACTTTTTGGTTGCCGGGCATTTCAAATCGTGACAACAGTGACTGCTCTGTGTTAATTTTAATTAAATTTATCCATTTCTTAGCTACAAAATAAATTTTTAGCTTGATTGTAATGTGATGCCTGCTAATTCAAAAACAAATGTTTTTTCAGTATGATGTTGATGAAGAATGCCAGAATTTTATGCAGAGGATGATGCAAAAAATGAAATCGAAGATGGTCGTTTTTGATTTGGGGTCCATCCTCATCAAGCCTGTTCAAAGAATTCTTAAATACCCGCTCCTTCTCAGTGAATTAGATAAGGTTTTTTAATGACTGCTTATAGTATTAATAATAATAATATCGTTAATATAATAATATTTTTGTTGGAGTAACTTCCCATTGGATAAATCCAGATGATTTTAAGAGCAGTGGTGTTACACTTGCTTCAATAAAAATTGAATAATTTGCTTTTATTGGTTAACAACTAAGTTATTGTTCCTTAGATATTTCACGTCATACAAGGGTTTTCAAAATACAACACCACTATGCCATTAAGGCTCATGCTGAACGTTTATTTAGCCGGACCGAAATGATTTTTACTACTAAAAGAAATCGTTTAAGTGATGAATCATTAAAAACTTTACTTTTCCTTAAAAAACAAACTCTTTTATTGATGTAAATAAATTACTGTTGATTTCTGAAGTTAATCAATTTATAGATACTTCAAGTGTGGATTTTATAAGATGACTTATGAAGATTTAAGAGGCCAGAGCTGCATAATAATGTACAGAAAAAGATTAAAAAATGTCAGTTTTTCGCTCATACATCAGTGGTCTAATTTTTTATGAAAATGTTGTATTTTCAATACAACCAAAATTCATTTAATTTAATCAATTGATGCTACCTTTTTTATCCGTCTAAAGGATCGAAAATACGCGTCTCCTGTTATTTCTTTTTATTAATAATCTGCGTCGATAATATATTTCCAAGTGCACTGATGAATCATCAAATGAGAAAAAAGAAATTCAGATGGCTTTGAATTGCATGGCCGACATTGCTTCTTACATCAATGAATCAAAGAGAAGACAAGATCTTGGTTAGTTTTTATTGACTTCTTTCTTTAATTTTTTTTAATTTAAAAAAAAATTAATATGGCAACCGATTGGCCAAGGTCAACATAATTTTAACAATTTTCATTATAACTAGAAAGTAATTTTTTCAATTCATATAGTCGTAGTTTTGGCTGAACGCAATTTTTCAAGTCCGACTTTTGTGAAATAGTTTTTCTCTTTCTTATTTGGTAAAAATTTGTTTGACGATGACAATAAAGACAAAATTTTTAAAAACGGAAATGCTGGTGATATAAAAATATTAAATTAACAAAATTGATTCTTATTTCAAATAGTTTTGAAGTATAAGCATGAGTCAGAGAACAAGTTGTCAGACAAATTAGGAAAATTGTCCATGCATTCAACAAAAAAGAAACTGATGAGATTCAGCCAGATGATAGTCGGAATTCAGGTTTTTTTTAATAATTAAAATATATAAAATAATATTAATAATAATAATGTTTTGGGTAGGTGAACGTACGTAATTCCGCTCGTTTAAAATTGAATAATTTGGCATTTAAACATTGTAGTTTTTGTTGAATTTTAAAAATTTTTTTAAATTATTATTTTAAGTCCATATCAGGCGGGCGCGCATATTTTCATTAACATAAAAAACTAATAAACTATTGAAAAATAAATTGAACATTATAATAGTGTCATTTTATATATCGCCATAGCTATGGCATGCTTCGTTGACCAATAAAAGTGTTCGTTCTAAGTAATGCTGTTGGTTTGATTGTTTGTAATTATAACGTTCAACTCGTAAGTTAGAGAGGATTTATCGACTGTCGAAGAATATCATAGGTCTTCTTCGTTGGAAAACAGCGATTCCTGAAAAGTCTAAATAAACTGTTTGTGTTGAAAGAACTATTATCAAACACATATCTTTAAATGCAGATAATCCAAAACGATTATGGAACGTTTTTCTTCATTACTTGACAAAAACTGAAAGTGCGACGGCTCATTGCAGATCTAAAATCAAAGTTGGAACCGTTAACTGATGAGAACGTTATTCCAAAGTTTCAAAGTTCGAGAACTGTTTCCATCAGTTTGAAAATGTTTCCAAAGAGATTTTAATACGCTTCTTCTACTAAAACCTGCTACCTCGACCCCATTTCAACATTTTCGGTTGAAATTTATGGGTATTGTTTTGCCATTTGCCATTTCGTTGCAAGACTCGGTCAACAAAAACTTGCAAAACTGCAGGTCAACTTTACCCATGTCTTAAGTTAGTTGTCAGCGTAGATGGGGATGACCTGGCATGGTTTTTTTAGAATTAACCTGCGGTGTCTTACAGTGTTCAGCTCTTCGCCCTCTTCTATGCATCATATACACAGCAAACATCGTCAACGTTGTTGAAGCATCTGGTTTTCGTTGTCATCTATACGCTGATGATATTCAACTTTACGGATATGGACTATCTGAAGCATCGCTTTAGATCACAGCTGCTGTGTCAAACATAGTAAGCCTATTCGGTCACTAGTTGTCGTCAAATAGACTTAAACTCATTGTCAATAAAACGCAATATATGGGGTTGGGAATGTCGCATGGTCTCAGATACGTAGAGGCTGGCTGGTTTAATGTCACATTTTCAAGGGTACTCTTTATCGGATCGATAAAACGTTTTTTTGGATGACCAATTGATCGACAACCTAAAGAGAGTTCTCTGTATAACCGTCTGCCGGGAAGCCAATTTTCTAGCAACTGTATTTTGTTAGTGTTGAATTCGCTCTTTTGAATATTACCGCATACAGGATTTTGTGCCACCGCTTTATTTTTAGAATGCTACTGCTTTAGGCGCTTTTTTAGATCGGTGATAAGGGGGTCTAAGTTTCACATCCTTAGAGTAAGATAAAATAGAAGATAGCATTATGTACAGGTATTTTTATTGTGATTTAGGAACACACGATGCATTAGTTTGTCAAAATTGATTGATGCAGTTTTGATACAATGTTCAACATCACATCCTAGACAGCAATCGTTGCTATGTATATTTCTTAGATACGTGAACTCTCTTGTTTTTTTGAGCGGATCCCCACTGATAGTGAACGGTGAGTTTGACATGTTTCTGTTCGTGATAAGAAAAATGGTTTTGGTCTTTTTGGTGTTGATGACAAGACTTGCATGTCTTTAGGCATTTCCACTGTGTTTAAATCAATTTGTAAATCAGAGACGATCTGAACAGGAATGGGAAGCATTGTCGGTACATTGAAGTACGAAGATCCTTTTTTGGATATTATGTTTTCTGCCTTCAACCGACGTATGTTGAAGAGGCCACCATCTAATTGGTGGTTGAAGGAGATGCCGACTTCCAAAAGAAGTTGTGAGTTATAAGTTGAGAATGATTGTGTTAAGACGTATCCATCCATGCTTAACTCCAACCATCAAATTAAAGGATTCTGACTCTCTGTCCCAATTAACTAGAATTTTATTTATTAAAGTTGGATCAATTGAGTTCAAGAGGTCGCTGAGATGTTCAGCCCAAGGAGAGACAATTCCATCTAGATCATTAATTACTGTGCTGTCGTCTTTTGATTTGATTGGATTAACTGATTGTTGAGAGAGTTTATAGATTGATCTGACAGAGTTATAAAATTTATGCGTATCATTCATATTAGCTAGTCTTTAAAGTTTTTCGTTCTTTTTCAACCACCAATCATTTTCCATACGTCAGAGCTCCTAACGCTCCTTGGCACGCAGTTCTTGCCATTTATTATATAGGCTGCACGTATTTGGGCTCATAAGTTTGACATCATGAGCTTTTTTTTAGCTTGCAACAGAAAATAAGATCAGCCAAAGTGTACATGTACACTAGCAAACAAGCTTAATAAAAAACCGATCAACTGAATGAACATCTTATAGTATCATTGAAACCAAAAAACTCATAATTGCATTTATTAATAAAGTTTTTATATCTGACAACAAAAAATAAGAAGAACAACTACGTTGAATTCCATATATTTCAATTGCAAAAAGTAGGAAAAAAATTATTGGGTTAAGCGTCCACAAATGAAACTGCATGCAAGAATTTTCAGATCAACGCTGGTTTTTCAGCCACGAATCCAGAATTTTGCGGTGGGGGATGGTTTCAAAGTTGATGACCTTTTTTGATAATTGTTGTAAATTGATGGGATGATTTCAAATATTCTTAGTCGACCTTTTTTGTTAATTTACGCACCTTTCAATCAAATGCACAGAAGCTAAACCATTAACATTTGATACATTTGTAAATTGGCGTACAGTTTTTCGGCATAATTTTTGTTTAGTATTTAACCAGTACAATCTGTTGATTAGTCTATCGCAGTTACATTTCATACCATCAAACTCTGGTTTGGTGACATGCTTATGTACAAACTGCAGCTTAGAAAGTATTTCAAATGAAAATTTTTACCAATGAATTTTGCCCTAGTTCAACTTTGTTTAGTCCAGAATGTAATATAGTGACGTCTTGTTATACTGCATATGGACAGTTCTTAGTAATTGTTTATATATACGTCTCGTTAAGTTTGCTGCTATTTAATTTTAATGCTTTGAAAAAAGAGAATTGTATTATGATTCTTATTCTTGCTATGTCGATCATCAGCTGGAGGAATCTATGTTTAAAATATGACATATACTTATTAACAGACAGTAGATGAAAAGTTCAACAAAGAAGAAGTAATGTTCAAAGCTGTTGACGAAACCATTAAATCGTTTCTTAAAGATTTGAACATCTCTTTAAGTTTAACAGAGGTTTGTCACATGGCTGTTTAGCGTTAAATTATTATCCATATTATACCATAACAGTTTTTTCCTAATTAATCTTTAATTAAAAAAATATATTTTAACGTATTTATTCATTGTTGAAAGTCTTTTTGAGTTTATTTCAAATTTTGATTTGAGGTTATGGCTAGCCAACATTTAGTAAAATACATTTATTGTTATCATTATTTGGAGAGTAGAGAAATTAAGCAATGCGGTTACGTTTTGAGTCCAACTTGGTAACTAGATCTTGGTTGCAATTTGCCGATGACACGGCAATTAAGTGCTCAAAAAATTAATTGTACTGAATCTTGGCTAATGCAAATTGGGATAGACAAGGGCTGTGTGTTTAGAATGAGAAGAGTAGATGTTGGTGGACAACTTGTTTTCTTATTCGAGCTCAACATCTCATTTGCTGACAAGGCTACTCGCCTAAATCATGTTGTTTCGCCCCAGTGTCATGGTTTTTTAATCATGTCGATAGCAAACATAAATCCACTCAAATAATACACCGGTCGAAAAAATTTGATGTTTTAGAATATTATCTCTACAAATTTGCAACATATTCAACAAGATAGAATTTATAACTTTTTAGAAATTGACTCCAAATAAAAATATACAAAAATGGTTACCCGAAAATCGTTGGCTTCACAGGACCCAACTAACTTTAAATAAACTTTAAGGACCCAAATTTAGTTATTCGGTTAAAAAAGAAGTTGAAACCACCTTAACAAATGTTCATTCAAAGTTAAGACAAGATTTTGTGTGGATTGTCGCAAAAGGTAAATGATGAAAAGTAGATAAATACAGTTTTGGAATACGAACATGCATCCCGATTTTGCAAAATATATTTTTATGAAAAATTTATTGGGAAATTCAAAAGTTTTGTCCTTAAATGGTTGGCAAGCTAGCTCAGTGAATTGGAGCGCTGTGTCTTAACGTTTACCTCTAGTTTGTTGACCTGTGTGATTTGGTGATGTTATACGTTTTGTTTCATTTAATTGCAATAAGTGAGATATTTGTAAGCGAGCTATTAGTAAGCAAGTTATTAGTAAGCAAACTATTTGTAAGCTAGCTATTTGTAAGCAAGTTATTTGTAAGCGAACTATTAATATTTGTAAGCAAGTTATTTGTAAGCGAACTATTAATATTTGTAAGCAAGCTATTTGTAAGCGAACTATTTGTTTGGGCCGCGTAATGAAGAGCAAATATTTCCTTTTTTCGAAGATTCATTTGACAAAATGACAAAGTTAGTTGACTCGACGTTTTGAGTTAATTATGGGACGATGGCAAGTTTTGTGGTTAGTAATATATTTTTTATACAATTATGGAAATGTCGAATAAACAAAAAAAAATACTTCGTTGATTATTAATAATAAAAAAGGGAAAAAAGGTCGCAAACAATCGAGCAAGACATGAAAGCTCTAAATTTAAATGAAATGGATACAGCTGATCGCCTAATTTGGCGCAAAAAGTTGATGGCAAAGAAAACAACGTCCTACCTTGGGAGAATTGGGTCTCTGGACGCTAAACGATGATTGATTGATTGAAAAAAGGGAAAAAAGAAATTTTAAAACTAATAAATAGAGCCTTAAACTTTTATTAAAAGTTATCGATAAAACGATAGATACATAGTAGAGCAGTAGCGTCATTAAATTGCAAAAAGGTGATTGCTTAAACATCTACTCAGTTCTCATTTCACGCTCTACTCATTCCTCTTTATTGCCTAATAATTTTATTTGTGCCTGATGTTCAAGGATACCACCAGCTTATATGAAGAATTGGGACGAGGTGTGGAAATGTATTGCGATAACTTCCTGGTGGATGACATGTTCATCAGGATATCTCAAAAAATTTCTCCAAAGAACTTCAGAGAATTTGTAAGTTTTTTTAATCATTTGTTCTGAAAGTTTTTGTAATTTCAACTGCTGTATATGTATATATGTATATATATATATATATATATATATATATATATATATATATATATATATATATATATATATATATAAAAAATTGTAATGCATAATTTATTTTTTTCTTCATCTATAAATAGAAGCTATTTTTCCGTTTTATTTAATATTTGATTTGCATTAAATTGAAATTAATCTTAAAATGGGCGCAAAATTATAAGTTAGATTAAATAAAATTGAAAAAATATTTGAACGGTAAACGGTGAACGAATATCTTTAGTTAGTTTTTTATATTTATTATATTTGGTTAATTTATTGTATTTGTTTTATTTCAAGTCCACTTGAAAATTTCAATGTTTCCGGTTTGATCAAAAATAACGACTCAAAATTTTGTAAAAATAGTTAAAATGTTCCAAGCTTAACTCCAATGTTATTTAGAGACTTATTTTCTTATATTAACGTAAACAATTTTGATTTCTTCAGAAAGAGAAAGTGGAAAGTGTGATAATGCCTGCACTAACTAATTTGTTGCAAACTTTTCGAGGTCCTTCCAAGATCATCCGCAAGCGGCATGATAAGTTACTCGATTACGACAACGTCAATGCACGTCTGAAGTCTCTCTCGGACATCAACAGCTCTATTGACAATGCTGTCGGTGATGTTGATAATTTTTGTTATTCAATTAAAACATTAAATATTACATTTTTTAATTGTAGACATTTTATACTTTTAAACCATTTCAATCCTTATAAACGAAAATAATTGTTAACAAAATTAATTATTTATAAAATTCAACGACATTTTTCTGCAAGACATTTTTATTATTAGAAATAATGAACTTTGTACGATATGTTACCGCTTATATCTTACGATTTGACTTAAGATTAGGTTCACTGTTTACAATGTTTAATCCAAAAATGATCCAAAGGTTGCTATTTTTCTCAAAACATTTATGACTTAATTTTTTAATACAACGAAGCCCATTGGATTATATTTTGTCCAGTTCTTTTTTATTTCTAACTGCAAATCTTTCGTTTTACAATCAGATGTTTGCAATTTTTGCTGCAAAGAGTGGTCGTAGGGCACTTCGTCGTGAGTTGCAGTAAACGGATTTAAATTCAAAATAATTCTCGCTTATTATAGCTAAAAGTGTAAGGATCGTAGATTCATGCATTAACCACTGGGATGACTTAGTGGTTAGAGACGCCTGATCTTGTCTCGCAGTATGTGCATGACCAGGTTGTGTGTTTAGCACATATTCAAATCGGATGTTGATTCCTCTGAACAATGGAAGAATGTATAAGACCTTTGCCCTTTTTTATTAAAATTGCAAAAAGAAACTGCATTCATTAAGTATATTTTGCGTTTTCTTTTGTTGAGAAACAAAACATGCTTATTGCTTTTCTCAATTCTCGCTGATAATCAAAAGTAATTGTAACTTGTATTTATTTTTACTCGCTGGTTGGTAGTAGTTTTAAAACCAGTTCAGACGGTTGTATTTCGGCTGTACGTACAACTCAAAAAGCGCATTTGAAGCCAATTTGTTATTAAACTGAGCGCTACTTATTGGTTACGTTATTATTATTTCAGTGTTAATTAATATAAAATGACGGTTTTTATAACTTGCCTATGATAATTGTGTTCAAATTTTCAAAGCTTTTTTTAATTTTGGTTAAGTTCACAGTTTTATGATGCTTTTGACGTATTCCATTAAACTTAAATTTCTATTCAACAGTTATTTATTTTACTAATTTCATTAAAGTATTCAACGTTATTTTGTCATTTTTCTCAATTTTGACATAGCTGAATGGATTTTGATTTTGAGATTTTGATTTTGAAACTGAAATAATTTTTTGTTCAGTTTCTATGTAGTTCCTTTATAGTTTGATTGAGTAAAATCTGTTGAGCACAGTCAGTCAATTCTGAATTATCTAAACTCTCCACCTGGTTTTCAACCAATTAACTCATTGTCAACCATTCTAAAACTTCTCATATTTTTTTTTGTCATAAAATTTTAACTAATCGAATCTCTAATTTTTTACTAAAATTCAACGATACGTTGCTTACTAGATCATTTTCCACCAAATTTTTCGGCGTTTTAATTACCGATAATCTTTCTTTCGAGCTGCATATTCATTCGATTGCGAACAAAGTTAACATACTTTTCGGTATCTTTTATAAAATCAAATTCAAACTCAATTCACTTTAATTTCAATGTTTTACGCTTTCATTTACCTACACTTTAACTATTATATATTACTTTGGGACTCCAGTCCGAAATCTCATCTCAAAGCCTAACTTTATGCTAAAAACGCTCTATTCGATTATTTTTTAACTTAAAACCTTACTCTAATACTAAACCGTTCTCTTCGAAACACAGAATTTTTTCTCTTAACTTAATTTAATACTCCAGTGTTTTATACTCATCTATCTCGCCTCAAACTTATCTCTAATAGAATTACTGTTGCTGGCCTTAAGATATGATCTATACTTGGTTCATCTCATCTTAGAAATCTCAAAGTTTTATCCCAACTCAAATTCGCATTGCGACCTTACTTGACGTCTATCGACATGATTAATTATTTCATGAAATTGACCAACAATAGAAAATTATAACAGAAGATTTTAATTTGTGTTTCGTTTAATTTTCATTGTTACTTTATTTGATTTTGATATCATCTCTGTAATGTGATAGTCTGGTGACATGTAATGTGTATTGACAATTAATGCGTCCTTGAATTATATAATATATTTCTAAATTTACCTTCTCTCTTTGTGATGACCTTTAATATGTATTAATCTATGGGTCCTTATTATGATTTGCGTTTCGCTTAATTTTCATTTTTACATTATTTGATTCCGTATCATCTCTTTAATATGTATGAATAGTTTAGTGACATGTAGTGTATTGACATTTAGTGCCTTCTTATTTTAATTTGTAAGTCGCTAAGTTGACATCGTTACGTTTTTAAATTCCATATCATTTCTTGCTGTAATCATCACCTTTTATAATTTCACGCACAGAGCTAATCAGGTAGCATTGTTACGAGTATCTTTTTACCTTTCTTTTGCTTCCTTTAAATGTAAATAAATAAAATCAATAAAAAAGTCTTATATAATAATTACAACAACAATAATAATAATAGCAATAACAATAGTAATAAAATAATAAAAATAATAATAACATTGAGAAAACACAAGGATTGTGGGAGGAATATATTTATTAAATTATTTCACCGTGAATTTTATTGATGTATTTCTTGATAACATTTAAAAGATTTTTGTACTTACTTTAATTACCGACTGCACAGTTGAAAGAAGAACTGAGAGTAGCCAAAGCAACTTATGAAGCTTTAAACTTGCAGATGCTTGATGAACTTCCAAAACTAACCTCTCTAGCACGGCACGTTCTACACGTCTGTATTATTTACTATCTTCAGTGCAAACAGATTTTGCTCAATCAAACCATCAAGGAAATTAAACAGCTTGTTGTGGTTAGTCAGTTCTTTTATAGTTGAAAATAGTTTGATATATAGTCGTCATCAGGGTAGTGTGATGACGATTTGAGAATAGAAAAGTATCATTACTGTCTTCAAATTTTTTTTCATCAGTTCAAAGGGAATTCCACTGCTCCAGTATCGTCTGCTGACACAACTCTCAAACCGGGTTATTTTAATCAATTTTTGCATGCAATTTCAAGGTTCGAATGGTTTCTTGTTGCATTAGCCACCGTTATATTTATTTTCTTGCCAATTTTATGCAAAATCAGATCTTTTTTGGAGAAGTTTTTAATTTTTCGCTAGTCATAGTTTTTGAAAATAAATGCTTAAATGATTTATTCAAATTAAATGAGGCGGTTTATTTCTTTAAAATCTCATTTAGTCTAAATAAAAATTACAAACCTTTAATTATTTACATTTTTTGTGGACATTTGCTTACACTAACTGGCTTCTAATGTTGTTGTCGTTGGTCCATTTTTAACGCTACATATTGGTTTGATGGATGGTGACTGAGACTTATTTTCACCGTGCGACACTTCAGGTGTTGCTACTTGTTTTCACTGCGTGGCCTTGTTCAGACAGTTGAAGCATTTTTCAAAGATTTTAAGTGCGCTTATTTATTCAAACTCTTTTTTTTATTAGATTTGTTGTATATTTTTTAATCTGTACGTTTCATTTTGATGAAGCAACGTCTGAATTGAAAAAAATTTTGTTTGAAAGGTGAACATTTCAACATTGAGCATGCACTTGCCGTTGACAAGCTCTCTCATTTCAGTTTCATACCGTCCTGCTTCAATCCTTCGCTGAGTACAGTAAGGAAAGGTAAAGATCGTGATCTGGATTTGTGCACCATCAGTCCGAGCAGTAGTAATTTCATTGGATTTGACGGGGCTGACAGAGTTTATGCTGTTGCTGAACCATATTTGCTGCTGGTTAGTTTTTTCAAAATTTCGCTTTATAACGATTATTTTAATTTTCAAATTTGTTGAGCGTTAAGCTATAATTTGATTTTAGTTTTTGGGTTTCAACCGTTCCTTTGATTTGATAAATTTTTTAAAAAATGATGTCTAGAATTTGAATGTTGTTATTGAAGGGAAGGCAGTGAAAATTTTTAATTACTCATCACAAATAAATGATAACTGCTCAAATGTTTAATACACGTTAACCTCCATGGGACTAATAAAAATTGTTAAATAAATTTATTTGATGACTTTAATCCATGTCGCTTCTGCATTTCACAGTTTCTGAGATATCAATGAAGTCTTTTTTTTAAATTTGTTGAATCACGAACAAATAATTTATTAGCCGAATTCTAATCAAAGTTTTTTACGTTATATAGGGTTCTCGTGCTATTTCATGTGTTATAAAATTATAAAATGCTTAGCCAATCCTGGATTAAGAAAGGACGATCGAATTTCACTTTCTTCCTCAATTGAGATGACCAAGATTTAACATTTATGTTTGTAAATTGCTCGTTCGTCGCATCAAAAAAAAATTCCATTTTATAAATTTATCGAACAAATTTTATTAATCTTATTGCCTTTAATTAATCGTCGTTGAACACATTTTATAAGTCCTAAATTTTATTTCCTCTTATTCCAAAATTTCGTTCAGCTCCAGTAAACATAAACGATAAAAACAGTCAATTAAAACTTTCTAAACAGAATTGAATGTAAATTTTTATGATTTTAAATTTTTTAATATCTTAGACGAAATGAATTTGACAGGATGAGTTTTAGATTAAGTAAGAGACATCCATATTTGTATTAGACGACATGAGCGTCGGACAAGATGATGAAAGTTACATGGAAATGAACCTCAAATTGAATAAACACAATTAAAAACTCGATAAAATGATAAAATAAGGTCTTTTAATTTATTTTTTACAATGCAGCTCTGTCAAACGCAGAGCTGCTTACATGTTATTCTAGTCTTATAATTAAACTTTCGCGCCACAAGAGCTGTACTATCCACACCACACGGGCACATTCACATCACGTATGCACGCGCAAGCACCGCATCATACGCGGATTATGGTCTTTGAGTTTAAGACAGAGTATTCGAACCATGCCATCGCGTAACAGCACTACGAGACATAACACTCCTACCGACTGAGCTAACTCCATGACAATTTAGGTATATCAAAGGTTAGACAAGTTAAACATTAGACGCAATGTTAGATCACATTATGACGTGCATGGGCAGAAACAACTCAACAGCAAAATTATTTTGATTTTTAACCACAGACAAGTAAAAAATTAGACATTAAGAGATATCTAAATTTGCAGGACTTGGAGATTGATTCAAAATCAAACGAAAAATCAATCGTGTCTGGTGTTGAAGGACATCAATTAGTTTTAGACAAATATAGTACGGATCAAGTTTACAGAGTGAAAGAAAACTTCAAAGGTTAATCCCTGCCACATCATGAAGCATGGTTGAAAAATGTTTTGTGCTGCTAATATAATTTTCTTTGTTTCTTTTTTATAAGCTGCTCTTGTGTCGGTTGTTACTACCGACCATTCTGAACAATTGCAGGTTCTCTAACCATGGATATCAATTTGATGGAGGACGCCATAGTGGGAGTTATTAAGAGAGCTGATCCTATGGGAAATAAAGAAAGATGGTTTGTTGATGATGGAAGTCAGTATTTTTATTGAAAAATATTTCTATTTTATAATTTGTTGATTTTGCGCTTTAAATATTTAATTCGAATGGTGCTTACAACTTTAAAAATCAGCCAGCGTTATAACTTGTACTTGTACATTTATTTCATATCTTTTTTTCGTTCAAGAGTTTCTCGTGAGATTACGTAAAGTTTGTTTGGTTATTGATGTTATTCATCCTAAGATGTTGCAAGTAGAGGTTTTTTAAGGTCGACACTACGATAGCTGTTTGTGTTTTTGTTTATTTATTTAATTTTTACAATTCTCTCTTCAATATTTTTCAGGCATCAACAACGAGCACATTGTATGTAAATGCGCGTCAAACGCATTACACATGTTGTTATTGATATGATGTTATTCATCCTAAGATGTTGCAAATAGAGGTTTTTTAAGGTCGACATAACGATGGCTGTTTGTGTTTATTGTTTATTGTTTTTGTATTTTTGTTTACACATCACTGGCAGCAGTGCCAGGAACTTTACCGTTACATTATCGTGCCGTCCAAGTTTATGAGTGACCTGAGCAAATTTTAGAATTAATCTATTTCTTCAAATTTGTAACGTTAATTTGAATTTCCCGACGATATTTTCTCTGGCAGAGATGCAAGAGGTTCTTTTGCTGTTGCCGGCAGTTCTTCCCAGGAAGCTTAATCTTTTGGATTGAAAATAAATTGGGACAAAACGAAGATTCAAGTCATCTCTGCGAAGATTCTTCGTTGGAAAGTTTTTCATTAATGAATGATAGCGTACACGTTTTGTATTCGTTCACTTACCTTGGCTCCCTGATACACATCACTGGCAGAAGTTATGCTGAGATGTCTCGTCGAATCACCACTACTGGTTTATATATGAAGTCTTTGGATCGCAACGTGTGGTTTTCAAGCATCTTACTAGCAACTAGAATCAAACTTTACAACTTTACATCATCCCTGTGCTGTTGTGTGGGCGCCAAACATGGTTTCTTTCTGGAAATAATGGACGCTACAGATCAATGGTTTCTTCGTCTATCCAACTGTCACGAACATCGAGGTTAGAAATAAAACACAAAAGGTTCAAGTCTCTATGCTTCTTCCTAGACGTCGCCCTACTCTGTTTGACCACGTAGTTTGTGATAACCCGTCGGAGACCAACCATAGAGCCATAAAATAAAAGCTGCTATGGATCGATCTTCAACCGGCTGGACCCGACCACGTGACCGCCCAAGACTCAGCAGAAGGACTTAATGCTTGTAAACATTGGAACACAGTCAGCCTGGAAATATGCCAACGATCGTAGATCGTACACTGTAAAGACATCTAGTGGACACTGCACTGCAGAACGATAGTACACAGTGGAAACATCTAGTGGACACTGCAACGTCTCGCTATTTGGGCTCGCCTTTAATAATAATTTAAAAAATGTTTAAAGTCATTTTAGGACGTTATCAACAAATCTTTATTATAATTTATTGAAATTAGAACTGCTATTTTTAGAGCTGGAATTTGAAATATAATTAATGTATTTTATTGCTGTATATTAAAATTGAGTTTACGAACCGAAATGTTCAACGTCTATAAAGGGGGAAAAAATTCTAGTTGGCTCATCTTGGCTACAGAAAACATATGTATTAAAAAATGCTTGCCGTTTTGAAATTTAATAACCTTTATTTATTATGCTTAATTAATTTAAGATCTTTTACCCAACAACATATATTTTTCATATTTTAATTACTTGAATTTTCATACTACAGACAGAAAAGGTTTCATATTGAAGAGTTATCTTGCACCTTACCAAGATGATTTTAGAAAATCTTTTCCGACTTTGCATCGATTAGAACAGCTTGATAGAGAGAAAAATAAAAAATTGCATCCGCAAGATTTTCAAAAGCAGCAGAAAGTGTGGCAGGCTGAACGACGTTCACTTAATCTATCGTCCCCGCCATCTATGGACGATTTAAATGAATCTTTTCATTCAGCGGTGAGTTCGTTTGACGTCCCGCAAAAAGCAGAGGATCACGTTCAACCTTCAATTTCTGCTCTTCTTCCACCTCCTCCATCTAAACAAAGATCCTCATCACCCCCTTGCAGATTATTTTGCCAACCTTCTCACATGTTAACCGCCCAGACTCAGCAAATCAAACCGCCTCAAGCGTCTTCCGCCTTTCTTACTGTTACATCCTCACAACATCATCACAATTCGCCAACATCAATCTTGTCTTCACGGCTCACGCTTCCTGGACCACCTCAACAATTTAAATCATCATCACTATCCTCATCAACACCGTCGCCTTATCACCGTAACTCAACTTTTCTAGAAGTTACAAATTTAGATAATAAAATGGACATTTTAATGCCATCAAATCTGTCAAATCCTTACTACCCATCACCGTTATCATCATCATCATTAACCGTTACAACTTCTAATTCGTTACCTCAAGTTCCTCCAGCTGATGTTACCCATTCCAGCAATTCAGTTAGCTTATTGTTATTGTTGTTATTATTATTATATTATTATTATTATTATTTTATATTTATTACTTTAATGTAATCCAATCATAATTTGCATTGTTAACATTTAGTTTATCTAGTTCGAATAAATTAGAAAATATTAAATAATTAACAAAATCTAAGCATTTTATATCAACCAACTTTGCAGCAGTTAATCGTATATTGTTTTTTCATCAATAATTTCAATCTTGCAACTTCAATCTTGCAACTTCAATCTTGCAATCATTTAAGCGCTAAAGGAGGTGATGCGGCAAATTATAAGCAGCCAATATTTGAGGAAAAACCAAAACATATAAAAAGAGTGATTTTTATATGACAGAAATAATTAAAATTATGAAAAATAACTAGATGACCTTCGTGCCTTAGAAATAATAAATTCTGTGTTTTTAGAGGAGTTTCATTAACTTGAATAAACGAAATGAAATAATTAGCAGGACATTTTGCTTACGGTTGCATCCTGCATGCGTCGCTACGCATTTTCTTGTTAAACAAATCGCGATTTACGGAAAATTCTTCGAAAGAAAACTCCTGGCAGAAATTCTTTGCAGGAAAAAATTCTTCGCAGAAAAATTCTTTGCAGGGAAATTCTTCGCGGAAAAATATTTCGCCAGAACATTTTTCGCCAGAAAAAATTTATCGATAAATGATTAATTTTTTTTAGGTGTGATTGGGATGTTTTCATTGGTCCTTGGATAAAAATCCCCGGAAAAATGCCTTTCGGATAAAAGCCCTCTGGATATAAACCTCCGGAGCAAAAAACTCCCGGGGAAATACCCGTAGACAAAAACCCCTCGAAAAAAAACCCGAACGAAAACCCCCTTGACTAAAACCCCCTGAACAAAAAACCTCGGAAAAATATCCCTCGGACAAAATCCCTTCGTGCATTAAACACCCCAAGCAAAAAACTCCCCTGAGAAAACCTCCCGTACAATATACTCCCGAGCCAAAAATCCTCCCAGATAAAAATTCCCGGTGCAATACACCCCCAAACAAAAAATTACTTCTACGAAGTGTTTCGATTCCTCTTTTCAATGTGCGCTATTTTGTTTTGAGTTTTTTCGGAATTTTCTTTTGTGTGCGGTTTTTTGTTCGTGGGTTTATTGCACATGGGGTTTGTCCTGGGTTTTTGTCTGGTCACCGTTTTCGTTCACAACTAAAAACTTCTGCGAGTGTAAAAATTGCTGTATTTTAAAAGAATTATTTGCCAAAAATTCATCGCTAGAAGATTAAAAATTTATTGGTTAGTATTATGTGATTGGGGTGTTTTCACTGACATTTCAAAAATTCTTCTGTATTTTTAATAAATTAATTTTTGTTTTAATACATTTCGGACTATATTCCTCTCGAATATATGATAAATATATGATAAATGAAAAAGGAAAAAGAAAATTAGTAGACAATGGTCACACATAAGTCAAGGATGGCGCTACAGATCAAAAAGTGTTATGGAAATGCAGCGAATTTCAACGTACCCATTGTCGAGCCCGAGTACATTCAGACGATACTGAAATTTTAAAACGGATAGTTGAGCACAAATATGCTGCAAATATTGCAAGAATCCAAGCAGCGATATCCATTTGGTGGTTTATCACATCCATTCGTTGGTCAATTGCCTTCAATTACCACGTTAAGGAAAAAAGTTCGCAACACAAAGAAATCTTCAACTTCTCACCAGTTCGGCAAATTGGTATGCTGATGGAACTTTCAAAACTGTGCCGCCATTGTTCACTCAACTATACACAATTCATGTTATTGATGGCGACCGTGTTATTTTTGCACTATTACCATCAAAAACGGGAAAAATTTATCGTCGTTTTTTTAATCAACTTATTTGCTTACAGCCAAATTTGGCTGCAGCTTCGATTATGATCGACTTTGAACTGTCAGCTATTAAATCTATAAGTTTGCTTTCGAATAA